TGATGACAGGGTTAGCAAAGAACAGTGGAGGTTATTGGTGAAATATTGGGAGACTGGTCCAGCGCAGGTAAAACATGAAATATGTCTTTGCTTTTTGTCTTTTCAAATGGTCAATTGTTTGACGCTGTATAAAATATTCATACAGAAACGATCAATCACAAATAAATGTAATCGTGCGAAGTGCAGGATGCACCACACAACAGGGACAAAATCATATGCCCAAGTGAGGAACCAATATGTAAGTGTCACAGTGTTTTTAGTCAATTAATGTGGAGCATGTTATCATATTGTAAGTCTACTTATGTAAGTTCTCATAATTTTTTGATCGTATATAAATGATAAAAACATAGAACAGCTGGTATGTACTTTTAATTTTTTAATTAATGGGCCATGAACACACAACCGACATCAGTATTAAAATTGCATCAAACCTAATGAGTAGATCCTATGATCATTACAAAAACATTGCATGCCACATGCTAATGTTGAAGAAGAGATTATAGCAACCTTTATCCACACTACAAGCATGTCAATACCCACCTTCCACAAAATAAATTATTGTCATTAGCTTTACCTTGAAAATTTCTCTACGACTATAGAACTAGCAGTGATTTAAAATGATATTTGATATGTGAACTGCCTGGTGGATTTTAGAAGGTGAATCACAGGGGTGTCTCCCCTGACAGATGCAAAATGTTTGAACTGTGCCACCTAAGAAAGAATGGAACACCTGTGAATGAGACAGCTGCAAAAGCTATGGTGAGGCTGAATTTGATTGTATTTGAGGATCTCTTATCTTGTGTTGTTTGTTATAGAGACATCCATGTAGTTGAATGCACAGTTAACAAATATATATATTCTTTGTGATTACTTCATGCAGGAATATATGAATTCAAAGATCATTGATATTAGGGATAAAAAGAAGCAAAACCAACTACCAGATGAAGTAACAACAGAGGAAATCAATATTGTATATGCTGAAGTGCTTGGAAGAGAGAAGGGTAATCGGGTGAGAGGATATGGCATAGGGTTGAGAACTGAGGATGTTTTGGGTGTGTTGAGAGAAAAAAGAGGTTTGAGGCTGGAGTTTGATGATATGCGTGAGTCTTACGAAGAAAGAATAGTGCAGGTCACAAAGGATGCAAATGAAAGGGAAGAGAGAATTAAAAGGGAAATGAGAGAGGAGGGGAGAGCCACAACGGAAAAAGTGAAACGTTTGGAGCAACTTTTAACGAAACAACAAGCCATCATGGAAAAGGTTTTAGCTAGTGCAAGCAATGTTTCTAACATTGATTCTGAATTGCTACTGGGACATGTTTCATCAAGCACTCTGCAAGTAGCACTTGGTTCTAATAGATTGGAAGAAATTATGACTGCAACCTTACATTCACCTTACATGCCAAGCCAAACATTAATTGATCAAGATGGTTATAGACCAATAATAAGGGGGATAGAAGAGGAGGAGCATGCAAGGAATGTAGGCCCTGCGTTCAAAGTTTGAAAAATATGGTTAGAGTTTATGGTATCTAGACCATGCAGTACCATTATGCTTTTTGTTAACACCATTCTTATCAATATATTTGTGTTTTGGTATTATGAAATTCATAATACCAAAATACATGTTAGTTTGGTATTTTTATTATAACTGCTTCGTTGGTACTAGAGTATGCCATTTCCTTTTTGAAGACCAAGTTCAAGTGGGATGAAATTAGTTGTTTTGAAAGTAGATCCCAAATGATTGTATATTTAGTTACTAGTGACTTAATATTTTGGGAGGTTTAATCCTCCATATGTGTAAATTGTAATGAAAATTATGAAATGAAAGGTAATATGTTTATGAAATGTTTACTGTATTGGAAGAAATTGCAATGAAAGTCAATATCTTTATTAAATTGTTTATTGAATTTTAATGAAATTACAATAAACACCAGACATCAATAAAAACAATATTTTTATTAATTAATTATTGGAAAATGAAAAGTAAGAAATGTACAAATAGAAATTGTAATTCTTTTTAATAATTCTAGTACACATGTATTGTCAATTTGTTGAATTTGATGGGCCCTACTGTATTTAAATGCTATTAACAATCAAATACGTAATATCAAGTTGATTGGATAGTCAAATAAGTAATAAAATATTATAAACTGAAGTTGATTGGATAGATAATGGGCCCCACATGCTGTTAAAGAGTCAATTTCCACAATGTCACGAATGTTATTATAACGGTGACAATAGCCTTTATAACGGCTTCATATGTAATGAAGCCCAAAATTGTAACTGCACCGTTACTATTGCTTTTACTCACCCAAAAAGGTGTCTAATGATGCCAACAGTCACCAATAAAAAGGTAACAATTGTTGACTTTTTTTGTAGTGTCGAGGGATTGAATCCAAACCCTCCGACGATCAAGTCGGATCGATGCCGATCGCAGGGAGGGTTTTCCGGCGGCTTGTAGAGGAGTTAAGAGCGATTAAATCCAATCCCTCCGACGATTTTGACTGCCGCATGCTCGAGCGGAACCCATATGAATGGCAATTTGGAATCAGAGGCGCTAGTGGAACTGAATTCGAGGGTGGGATTTATCATGGCCGGATGCAGTTTCCGAAGGAGTACCCATCGAAGCCTCCTTCATTCACGCTTTTGACGGAAAATGGTCGCTTCAAAACCCACAAGAAGATCAGGATAAGGCGACTGAATGATTGGCAGCCATCATGGGGGGTGCGAGATGGTTTAGATGCACTTATCGATGAAATGCCCACCTACCCAGATGATGAATTGGGTTCAGTAGAATACAATAAGGAAGAAAGGCGTGATCTGGCCATCAAATCTCGTGCAGCAGCCCCAAAATACGGCACTTCTGAACGTCGGAAGTTAATTGATGAGATTCATAAATATCTGCTAAGCAAGTCACCACCTGTTCCTGTTCCTCAACTGAGCCCCTCACGGGCCTCCAACGGCACAGGCGGCAGCTATGTCGTCAGTGGGAATACATTTCATGCTACCAATTCCAACGGGGTAGGAATTTTGGATTCTATGAATGCCTTCTCCGACGAAGGCCACAAGCTTTTACCTTCTTGGCTAAAACTTTTTAGGTGGAGAAAGCAAAACTAGACGTCTGTAAACACGACCAAGAGTGATGAACTGAGGTGATAAAGTCTGTAGCGTAGCTTCTGTCCTGTAGCTGTAGTACTATTGAAATTGAAAATGTGCATTCTAGTTTAATGAATATTCTTGTTTATTCTTCTTTCATATCAAGTTAAAACCTCTTTGCTTCTAGTTAATGAATACCCAAGGCCTTATTTCGATGGATTCAAGTATAAAAATCTTTGGGCAATGAATACTCAAATATCCCTTCTGCTACTTTTTTAGTCAAATAAAATTAGTTATATCGCGCGTAGGGAGACTGAATACTCATTGAAAAAAAGGGCCCATCATCATCCGCCTGCAAGCCAGCAGATGGTGAAATGGAAAATGGAACTCATCACTTCAATGGCAACGCGAACGAGAGTAACAGAGTCAAAGACAAAACCAGCTGATATCTGTTGCGTAAAACCGCACCTTCAAATTTCCAATAGGTATCGTTGCCCAACATAATCTCCAAAATCACGCCTGTGCTCTTCTTTTGTTACACTCTACGTATAATGGCTGTCGTAGTTTACATTTTCTGGACATTGTTGATAAACAATAGTTCGACGTTACAAAAGAATACTTGATTTACTATGATCGCACCTCCGCCTTTGAATCTGAAGGGAAGCAGTTGGTTAGCTGGAGCAGCTAGTTTCCGTGCAAAAAAATTATCTACAATCTTCACTTCTTTGGTTACGAAAATAAGAACATTGAGAAAAGAGAAGTCGCTGATCCTGAAGCATCACTCGCCTCCACTTCACCTATTTGAGTAATAAAAACAATCAGACGACATTCCAATATTAAACATGTCTCACTAGGTGATTGCCGTTGAATATAAAAAAGGGCAGACGACTTTGATTTTTACATCAGTCTATAATAAAAAGGGAAAAGCTTCGCTCCTTAACATACCTGTTTCAAGAAGCTTTAAGATTACATTTTTTAGGTGGGTCATATCTACTCTTTCCCTCTTCTGCGTCATAGATTCCTACATATATGTCACAACATTCAAAGATAAATATATATCAATAAATATATTCATAGAATGGAATTGACCACAAGGGAAGTGTGATGGTTTCGGAGCATCATAGACAACTAACTAACTAACTAAAACTGCAGCATAGGATACAAGATAAGAATTTGACCTCGTCCGGACTAAGTTGAAGAATCATACCAACTACAGGTAATAGGGCCTCCACTTCACCTATTTGATTGTTACATCAATCTATAATAAAATTACCTGTTTCAAGAAGCTTTAAGATTACATTTTTCAGCTCTGTCATATCTACTCCTTCCCTCTTCTGCGTTCTTTCCAGGTTGCGAACCTCAGCCTTGAGCATAAATTAATTGTGAGACGAAAAGCATAACTTACTTCCCCATTCATGCAAACAAGAACATCACCTGGCTCCAAAACACTTGGAAGTGGTATCAAGAGGAGTTTGACCGTCGTAGGGGAGGATTAAGTAGTCTCATACTTATTAATATATAATATGCATATATTATATTGTAATAATAACAACATATATTACTATTATTATATATACACACACATATATATATATATATATATATATATATAAATATATCTGAATTTGAATTGAGATTTAAATCTGACTATTAAATTTTGAGTGACATTTATGATTTTAGAAATTAGGTTTTTTGATTTTTGGTGTTGAAATTCTTGAAATTAAAAAAAATTTGCCAAAGGATTGAAAAAGAGAGAGATTGGTGATGATTATTACTTACCAAAAAATAACGTGTTTGCCTTTTTTCTTTTTTAAATTGTTGTTGTTACAGAAAATAAAATGAAATAGAAATTAAACTATTTATGTACACAAGCTGGCTTTGAACCAAGGCCTTGAAGAGAAATTTAAGCCCCGCAAAACAACACAATCAGAAATATATTTGTGTTAATATCTTGCGCGATCATTATATATATGACATTTATAATATTCATATATATAATATACACATAAAAAATTATGGGGCACACCCTCAGGGCCGCCCTGTAGATCTAGTGCGATGGAGATTGGGGTTAGTGATGAACAATTCTATGATGAAATTTGTAAGGGTCACATCCTCACGTGTTAAGAAATCTTGTATGTGTGTATGGCCCACCAAACTTTTTATCACTTCAACTCAACAATAAAAAGGTTAATGTTCTTTTAGAATCTTCACAGTCCAGTCAGTCACTCTCTCTCTCTCTTCTCTGATGCGGCGTTTTTTCCATGCAAATAGCTTCTCGGATTGCATAAACATCAATCAAATCGCGGGTCCCCCAAACAAGCCTTACTCTTTTCCATGCTAGTTATTGGTGGAGTAAATAGAAAAAAGAAAAAAGAAAAGAAGAGATTTTCTATTTAAATCCTATACTTCACCCAATATTTTAAGTTCATCTCAATTTTTAATTTAAATTTTCACAATTTCTAAGAAAACCCCACTATCTTCCCAAATACCCTTAAATACACCCCAAGTTGAAAAATAAGAAATAAAAGAGATTTTTTATTTAAACCCCACAATTTTCTTTGTTCATCCTAATACTTAAATCATTAAATCATTAAACAATATTTGTAGTATACATCAAATTTTGTTGTTTTCACAAGCTGTTTTTATCAAATGAGCGTTAAGTCTAAAAGAATGAAAGTACAAGAGTTAGAGCGAGTTGGCTTGATAGGTAGGAGGATGTGGAAGTATATTCGATCCACATATCCAATACCCAAACACAAAAGTGTTGGTAAAGGATAAGGTCTTAGCTAGCTGGGTTCAAGTCTTGAAAGCTAAAAAGAAGTACAACTAAATACAACAATGTCGTCAAGCATATCCATTTAAATATATTCAAGAATAAAAGTCAATAATGAAAAATCATGTCGGCAATACATTGGATTGAGATCATAAGGGTGCTATAAGTTGTAACGTGAAGGCTCCATTGTATCACTAAAAAAACAATGCAATAAGAAAGGGTGCGTTTAACTTATGAGGAATTAGTGGTATCAGCATACCCTGAAAACTCAATTTCACATATTTCAAAACCAGCAGTGCTACAAGAAGACATTAACAATGGGAGTGATGGTGGAGGAGTAGAATAGGTGGCCACTGGCATCCTTGGCGGGTGAACGAGCAATACAGCTTCAAAGTTAAGCACATGAATTGCTCTTTGTATTGAAGGCCTCATATTGTAATCCGGGTGAGCACACCACAACCCAACTATCATCAAGCATTCCATTTTGTTTCCAAGTGAGGATCGAAGGGTTTTCTCTCACAGGCTATCTCTGTTGCAATAACTCTGAAACTATAAACATCAGATTCCTTGCTAGCCTTTCTGTTGGTAAGACATTCTGGAGCCATGTAACAAATGGTTCCAGACAAAACCATTGTTTGTGATTGTTCTCCATGATCCACAAGTCGAGCCAACCCAAAATCCCCAAGTTTTGCATTGAAATTTGAATCCAACATAATGTTGCTGGATTTGATATCCCTGTGCACCAACCAAGAGTGCAAAAAAAGAAAAAAAGAAAAAAAAAAGCAATCAATAGCCAAGCAATCAACAAAGGAAAGAGAATAAGATCATTACAACCAAACAATCAACATGTCTTTCCATCATCTCCCACGCATATTTTAAAGAGGTAAGCTCGTTAATGTTCTACGTCTTTAAAAGAAAAGAGTAATCTAGAAATAGGATGTAGAGGAGTTTGTATTTTTCTAAAACTTAATATGAAAAGTGGTGGGGTGTGTGTATACATATACTAGGGTTAAGTATTAAGTTGGATGAACTTTTTTGTCTTTTTACACAATAATAAAACGTACAGCTTAATGATATAAGTATTGGGGTGAACAAAGAAAAGTGCAGGGTTTAAATAGAAAATCTCAACAAAAAAAAAAAGTGAGATTAGTGGAAGAAAAACATGGAACATATTTTTTAATGCCTATTATTATTATTAATCTAAATATATTTAACTTTTTCTGTTTATTTTAATTTTCTTTTAATTTCTATTGGTTTTTTCAGTTAATTACTTTCTTACATTAAGTTTTCATATACATAAACATCAACCCAAAAGAGAAATTAATAAATAAATAAAAAATAGCCTACTACGCTTTTTGTCTCCCTATTTTTTTTATGGGTAATGCTAGGCTTACCACATTTTTCATACCACATTCATACCACCTCTCTAATAGAGGTGGAGCCCACCAATACAATGGGGCCCACCTCTATTAGAGAGATGGTATAAATGTGGTATGAAAAATGTGGTAAGCCTAGCATTTTCCTTTTTTTATATAGCCCACGTCGGCTGTCAGTTTTTCTGGTTTGCCTTTTCTCTTTCTTCCTTCGACAGTTGTGGGATTCAGTTTCACTTGTAGAACTTTCGAAGTAAATACCAATCCGTTACCCACACCTTCTCAGCAAACCAACTTCCGACCCTCGCCCCTTCTAAGAAACACCAACTAAAACGCGTTTTCCCAAAATGGCAATGGCGCTGGTGTCTTATAAATAGTGGGCATACAACAGACAAATATTTTCTCATAGCTTCCATAAAATAGTTTCTATTCCTACAAGCAAATATTTTCTCACAATTCTCATATTTTAGCAACTTCTTTCTCAGCCTAATTCATACACTTGTTTAGACATCTCTAGTTCTGTCCAACTCTCAAACAGTAACATCTCTGTCTCTGTCACAGATGAAGTATCAAAGTGAAAACGTGGTATCTGAACACACAAGCATGGTGAAGGACAAGTTCTATTTCTTATGTCTGCTTAGTATTTGGATTGAGATAGCGGAGGACAAGTACAACATAGATGCTCTTGATGCTTTATTTGCAGTTATAATGTCCACCTACCCATATGATGAATTCGGTTCAGTAGAATACAATAAGGAAGAAAGGCATGCTCTGGCCATCAAATCTCTTGCAGCAGCCCAAAAATATGGCCCTGTTCCTGTTCCTCCTCAACTGAGCTCCTCACAGGCCTCCAATGGCACAGGCGGCTTCTATTTCGTCTTCAATAACGTTACTGGGAATACATTTCATGCTACCAATTCCAACAGGGTAGGAATTTTGGGTTCCTTCAACGAAGGCGCCAACCCCGAGGAAGGAAAACTTTATTGGTTTTGGTGGCAAAACTACAAAACTCAGCCCTATTGGCAGAAAGCGACCAAGTTCTTTCTTCTGCTAGCCCGCGAACTTAT